ATCCTCCTCCCTCAGCCTCCTGAGCTGCTGGGATTACAGGCAGGCACCACTGAGCCCAGCTTTTTTTTTTTTATCTTTAAGTCGTGCTCCCTAAAATGTTGAGATAAAATAAAGAATTGATGTGGGTGAGAAACCAAGTCATTTGCTATGCATACAGAAGGCCTATGAATGCTGAGGGTTTAAACAGAACTTGTGAGCACAAGAGGAGATTTTGTGTTTCCTGGGAAAGCAAACGATTTGTCTCTTTTTTCTCCATAAAATGTAAAAGTTAATAAAGGATCCTAATATTTTAGACTTCTAAAATCCCTCCATTTAAATAAGTCGTCAGATTGTGGCAAACTATTCCTAATGAGGGGAGGTGGGAGGAAAGGAAAGGATTTGTGGTACAAAGTGCAAACTAAATGAAATTGCTTGACTTCTTGCTGCCTGTTTTTTGTTTCTGTGTTCTTTTTTCTTTTCCTTTTCTCTATTTTTATATATGCTAACAGAGCCATTTACATTGGTTTAATTGTGTTTTACAAGTTTCTTATGAGAAAATAACAAAGATTTGGGGTTGGTATCACTGGAAAATCTTTTTCTCTTCATATTTTAAATGAAGATATGCTTTCTGGAGTTAAAACTACCCTATGATAAAATAAAGTATATTGACTGTCTTTGTTTTCTTTTTAAAAATCCAGCATACACATCATTTCCTGGAAGGGTTTGTCTTAATCTTTGTGATTGGCATGGAAGATGGTATAAGCAGATTTTCTTCTGAACCTCCTGCACAAAAAAAGAGCACAATTTTTTTTTTCTATTACCTGATACAGATGCAAAACATGAGCCATGGCGCAGTGAAGTGGTGTAGCCAAGATTACTTGTTAGGATTTTGGGCATCTTTCTCAAGCAGCCTCTGATCATGTTTCTCTGCTGCTCTGAAGCTTTAATTAAGAGGGCCCTGTTGCCTGTAGAAAGGTGTGCACTTCTTGTTCAGTCACTGGTAACCATCTAAAATCAGGCTCCCATAAATCCCTTTTGTTTTTATCCTAGGCACGACTCTTTGCCCAGCCTATTATTTCCAGCAAACTAAAACACCTGCTACTTGCTTCCCTGGACTTTGCAGCTTTGTGCCTTTTGTTAATGGCCTTCTTTGATGGTCCATGCTGCCTATGGCATGAAGTCCTAGATGGTGGCCCCAGTCTAACACAACTATTTATCTTTCCAGTGGATTAAACTCACTGTCTACATTGGATTAAACTCACTTACTAGGCTATGGACTCATTGTCCAGGTCCTATTCCTGTAAATTTGTTGTAAGTTGCTCCGTATCGTGAGCGCCCACTACTTCAGTGAACAAATGACAAAAACAAACAAATTTTTAAAAAATTGATATTTGGACACCCAGCTATAAAGCTATGTTGAACTGTAATTGGACATGCTCAATTATATAAAATTGGAATTAAGAAAATGTTTTTGCATGATTTTTAAGAAGTGAGCACTTACCTTATATCGTAAGCTGTGTTAATAAATATGCATCTTCAGAACACTTGATCCCTAACATGGTAGCATGATAAATAAAACAGAATTTCCATGCCAAATACTTCAAAATAAAACATTTCCAAAATAAATTGAATACAGAAATATTACAATTAAGCTGGCTGATTAAAATAAAGATAGGATGGCCCCTTTGGCTTTGGAAACCTTGAGCATCTTCTGTATACTCATGAGGTCCTAAAAAAGGGGAGTCTACTTATGAAAGAAACCTATGACTTATTAGCAATTTCTCTTCATCCTCTTTCATCATTCTTGCAAAAATGAAAACAAAACAATCCAAATCCATCTATCAGTAATGAAAAAATGTTCATTAATTCATTAATAATAAGAGGGTTTGGGGATATTAAAAATTCCTATAAATTATAATAAATAGAATTGATCAATCAATCATTACCCATATTTTTTAAGATTATCAGCTTTGAAAACACAGCAAGGGAAAAAAAAAGCATTCATCAGGGATCTAGAAAGTAGGCTTTCCCATAGATTAGATCTTCTGACCCAATATCTTTATTGTTCTATTATGAAAATATCTACTTTGGTTTCTCAGGAATTTCTCTAAGTAATTATAATGAAACATTTTTAAAACTATCACATATTTAATTTTAATAGCATATTTTTAGAACCCTGTTCCTTCTGAAGAAATTTCATGCTGAAATCATTTATTATTACAGACTATTTTGTGGTTATGGAAGAAAAGAATCATTTCATATGGCAGATGAATGGACTAGATGGAAGGGAAGGTTTATGATATCTTCCAAATCATCCAGCTATGGTTAGGGACACGTCTTCCAATTCTTTTCTCAAGATCTTTGTTGTATTGGGTGCTAATGAAATATTTGGCAAATCCTATGCTTCATGGGGCAGTGCCAGATAATAGTGTAGGTTTGCCTGTATTGATGACTTGCTATAATCCAGACGCTGTGGAACCTACTGAGAATTCTTCAGCTTCATTTCACAGGTGTATTTTTTTAAACTGTCCCTTCTATAGTTGCTGTGAGAATTCAGACGCTTATTACATACAGATTAATAAGGTAGAACTCAATGAATGTTCATTTCTAGTCTCTGTGTCTTCTCTTCCTTTGTTTTCCTCTCTTCTTCTTTTTTTTTTTTTTATCCTTGCCCTTTTACAGTAGATTGTGGCTTGAAAGAAAAGAAAAGGTGAATAAGAAGCTGAGTTCCACGTTGGCATCTGGAATAGTGGGGGAAGGGTGGATGGAGGAAATAATGTAAATGTAGTTTTGTAATATTTAGCCTATTATGGTAAAATTTCAATTAAAATGATTGCTAAAATTACCTCAACAACTGTATTTACTCAAGTTCAAATAAAACCAGACATTTTTCTCAAAATATTTTTTTATTCAAATACTAAACGCTTCCCCCAAAACCAACAAACCCGACAAAACTATTGTTTGCTTAACTTCATCAATCTTTGACTGTGCCAAGTACCTTGGGACCCTCAAGAGAACTTTAGCTGCATTCATTTCTGGTTAAAAAATAAATGGCACTTTTTAATGTGTTTTTTTTTCCATTTTTCAAAATAGAAGATACAGTTTGTTTCTCATTAAGATTAGTTGGAGTGGTTCAGCAAAGGTGTCTGGGCAGCTCTGGAAACAGAGAGCTAGAGTTTAAGGAAAGAGGTAAATTTCACATTTGAACCTTGTTAGCATTTCTTTCACTCATCATTATTTTAACTAGCTGCATCAGTAATTCCCCCAGGAATGATTATGCCATATGAACTAGGAATATGCTGGAGATTTTTTCCTGGGTCTGCAAACTAGTGAGATTGTAATTACTTGGTATCTATCATAATAGATGAGCTTTTTCTTCCCCTCCATTTGTAATGCAAGAGATAGGTTACACGTCTTGTTTGTCTTTCTATTTTTTTCACAGCTTGTGCCCCAGGGACAAATGGGAAAGAGTGTGACAGCATCTGCAAGTGTCAGAATGGAGGCACCTGTGATCTTCTGACTGGATGGTGCCGGTGCCCCCCAGGGGTTCATGGGAAGACTTGCGAAGATGGTAGGAATGTCTGTGCCAGTCACGCGAGAACCTTTTTCTTGAGGTTTCTAATAGAAATAAACCGAACCAAAGTTTCATCTGCATTTTTCAAGGCAGCCTTTACTGATGAAGTCAAAGGCTGTGTCTATATATACAAGATGTAATGGCTCTGACTGATGCCATGTGTAACGGAACAACATAATTGATAATTAAATCGCCAACTGTGATCTAAGCAGGATGAATCTTGAGACAAAGAAAGCATTTTTTTCCTGCTGAGAAAAAAGTTGAGTTTTTGTCCATATATGCCTAGGTGTGTGTGTGTGTGTGTGTGTGTGTGTGTGTATGTGTGTGTTTTATAGTATAATATAACACACTATGTTTTGGATGTAGAACCTGGGAAAACTTGATTTGCTTTGCATAGTGAAAGAAAGAGCAATGTGATTTCCAAGGCAAACTGGGAGGAAGAGAGATGAAAGTCAGGAAAAGAAAGGAGAGGAGGGAGAGAGGAAAGGAGAAATGGATACAAATCTCACAAAGTGCCAATGAGTGCTGTGTATGAATTTTTCACGGAAACCAGTGAAAAGGCCACATTTCCTACATGGGTTGATGAAGCACAAAAATAAAGACACTGCTTGTACAGACACAAGAGCTGAAGGCAGAGAGTCAGCAAGGATGTACGTCTCCAGGGATTGCCAGAAATCATGGGGAGTTTATTAGATTCTCACAGACCACAGAACTGGGAAGATGGAAACCAAATTTACTTCACTTTCAGAGGCACAGGAAGGCTTCTTCTGGCATTCCACTTGCATATCCCTGTGAGCCATGTTTGTTTGTCTATTTTAAAAATATACTAAGTGGTTGCAAAGAACTGTGCCTAGAACTATATGATATGATAACAAAAAGGGAAAAGGAAAGTTCCTGGTCCCTCCATGTGGACCCTGTGGTCTTGTCCAAGACAAGCATAGATATTACAAATTTATTAATGCATGGCTGGAAATGAGACCATGAGGACAGGCCGACTGTGTGTGATGGAAGAGACTTCTGGAGAAGTAATACTTAAGCACAAGTCTGCAGAATGAACAGAGGAGACAAGGGAAGAGCAAGGGGCTAGCTTTCTAGACCAAGCCAGGAAGATGTGCAATGCACTGCAGAACCCCAAGGAGGTGGAGCAAAGACAGTTGATAGTAGTGCAACTTGAGCTCCCCTAGCACAGGGCTTGCAGTGCTGAGTTGGGTTTCGAACCTGTAGCAGTGGCAAGTCGCCGCAGGGTATTAAGCAGAGAATGCAGCATCATGTCTGTGATTTTCAAAATATCTCTCTAGCTTCAGTCCAGCCAGCTTGGAAATGTCTTCAGTGTCTCAATTTCATACAGCAACAGCTCTAGCAGGGTTTGCATATGGGTAAATGTTTTCTTTGTTTGTCCTTTCACCCTCCAGGATGCCCAAAAGGGTTCTTTGGGAAAAACTGCAGAAGAAAATGTAACTGTGCCAACAACGGCCATTGCCACAGGATATTTGGTTCCTGTATGTGTGAGGCAGGGCGCTATGGGAGATTTTGTCATCTGAGTAAGTCACAAACGCCAGTTGCTTTCTATGCAAAACATGGTGGCTCAAACTGTATGGAGAATATATCAGACAAAGAGGAGTAAGAACATTATATGTATATAATGATTGTGTTCTAGCTTTTATTTAATTTCTTTATAGAATCTAGATAAATGAAAATATTTCTGATTTTAACTTTTTTTCTAGTTAATATTTCCCTAGATTATTTTTAATTTTTTACATTTTTTTTCTAGTTAATATTTCTCTCAAGTATTGAGAAAGGATTGTTAATAGTTTGGTTAAGAGGACATGTGACACTTTACAGGAGTTTAATATCAAGGGCCAAGAATGAGTCTCTTTCTGGGATCTAGCCCCAAATATTTACTTCCTCAAGTTTCTAAAAGAGGCTCTTCATTTTCCATCCTCCTTATTGATCACATTTTTCAAAAGGTGCAAGAAAACACAAGCACCAAAATATATATCTAGATAGGGGTCCCCTCAGGGTCTTCTAGAGTTTCCCCAGCAGGATAACTCTGGATGTTCACCAGCCCGCCCTAGAGCTGTGTGCGGGAATCCCTGGGCTGGAATGATCTCAGCTCCACTCCTCCACCTATTCCATTTCCCTCCTCTTTCTCGTGAAAATACATTTTAATACATAACAAACCCTGAATAGGCACTTGGTTGCCAACAGAGGTTACTTCTACTTTCTCTTTTTTTCCAAACGTATTGCTACAATTATATGTTCTGACTGAATGTCAGTGTCTCAGTCTGTTTGGACTGTTATAACAGAATAGTGTAAACCAGAAAGCTTGCATACATCAGAAATATACTTAGTACTGGAGGTTGGGCAGTCCCACCACAAAGCACTGTGGATTCCAGGTCTCCATCTCTGGAAGCCTGCTTTCTGGTTCATGGTCAATGCCATTTGCTGTGTCCTCATATGGCAGGACAAGGAAATTGGCTTGTGGGCCTCTTCTAGAAGAGCAGGAATCCCACTCATGAGGGGATTCCTCATTCTATAAGAGCAGGAGTCCCCCACTCATGACTCACCTTCAAGACCCCACTCCCACCTACCATCCCTGGGGGTAGGTTTCAACATATGAATTTTAGGAGGATACAGACATACATACCTATTGCCTGAACAGTATCATGACCACCTCTTCATAACAGACAGCTTTTAGAGTTTTATAGTCTATCTTAAGTTGAATATCCATGAGACTTATCTATTTATAAAAGGTATGTACCTGGAAAATACAGAGTCAGTGGTGAATACTCCAATATGAAAGCCAATGGAGGGATCATAGGAAACTCAACTTGGATCATGAGGAATGGTTAGTCTTAAATGAGCAAAATAAAAGATATGTAACCCCATATTTAGTAATAGGGGTTTTTTTGGGGGGGTGGGGTTTAATGCTTGGGATTGCTTAACCACTGAACCACATCCTCAGCTCTTTTTTTTTTTTTTTTTCCTTTTTTTTTTTTTTTTTGTATTTTGAGACAGGATCTCACTAAGTTGCTTAGGGCCTCACTAAGTTCTGAATCTGGCTTTGAATTTGAAATCCTCCTGCCTCAGCCTCCTGAGCTGCTGGGATTATAGGCATGTACCATTGTGCCTGGCTAGTAATAGCTTTTGAATATTTGACAAGATAATATCAGATGTTTTGGCACAAATTAATCATAAAACATCTGAGTGAAAACTTTCAGAGCTAATTGTCAGAAACATCTAAAATTGAAGTTTTAGTTTTGAATATCAACATAGCATATTTTTATTCCTTTTCATGCTATCAGGTTTGTGGTTACTAGTGGTGGTTAGCATTTTGAATGTGACCATCTTCAAGTAGAACACACATATCCTATTCTTTGGAATTCCATTATTCTTGGAATTGAGGCTTCACTTATTAATGTCACTTGACTGTCTCTGAGGGAGCTTGAGTTGACAATCTTATATTAATTTTTTTTTAATGCTTCTATAACCAAGTACCTCAAACTAAGTGGCTTAAAGAAATTCGTAGTCTCACAGTTGTGGAGGCTAGACATCCAATTTCAGGGTTTTAGCAAGGTTATGATCCCTCTGAAGACTAGAGAAGGATCTAGACCTCCCAGCCTCTAGTAGATCCTCGTCCTGCAGCAGCATAACCCAGTCTTCATATGCTCTTCTCCCCATGTGCATGTCTCTGTGGACAGATTTCTCCATTTATAAACATACTAGTTACCTTGAATTAAAGGCCATCTTATTCTAGTATGACCTCATTATAACTTCACCAATTACATCTGCAATTTCCAAATAAGATCACACACATTCTGAGATCCAGAGAATTAGGACTTCAATATATGAATTTTTTGAAAATACATTTTAATACATAACAAACCCTGAATAGGCACTTGGTTGCCAACACAGGTTACTTCTACTTTCTCTTTTTTTCCAAACGTATTGCTACAATTATATGTTCCTAATATACCCAAATGTCAAATTTATGCATTCCACTGTGCCTGAGTTGTTCCCAGAGCCACAAATCTATATGCTGAATCAGGTAGAGTAATACATGAAAGTCAATCTAGGGTAGTATTCTGAGATGACAAAAAGAGGCTTATATCAGGGCAGACTGAAGTCTGAGAAACCCTGGGGCGTGGAGGGTCTGAGAAAGAATTACAGACTTAAACATTGTAGAAAATTTGACAGGGGAATCATGAACGATTTTGAGAACAAAATTCTGTTAATAATTTTGTTTTGCCTCAGTGGTAACTGAGTGTCCCTGGCAAGTGGCACTAGGATCATCCTGGGTGGTACCTTTATAACCACTGCTTTGAATGATCTCTACTTGTCCCTCTCCATCTACCACCAAGTGGAGTGGTGTGTTTTGTTTTCTGCAAGCAACTTTCTGTAGCAAAGCCCATAAAGACACACAAAACAATTACCTTGAGCCTGGAGGGCACTTGAAAGGATCTCTCATTTGATAAGTCCCTTGAACATCTGTAATAGGGAAGAAATGATGTCAGAGAAACATTTTGGAAAGGGAAATGAATTATTCTAGTAACTGCTCAGAAAGGGAACTACAGGTATGTTTTCTTAAATGCAAAAGTGGGACTTTTTCCAATTTGGGATTCCAATGCTGACAACCAACCCTAAAGCTCAATGGCAGGGGGAAGATAATGACATGAGGGCAAGCACCATTTGCCAAAGATGTGGTCAAGATTACGCTACTGTCACTGTGAAAGCTTTGTGCTCTCTGCATGACGTAAATTTTTTTCCGATTACCATATAATGAAGGGGAGTGGAAACAATGGCAAGCCTTCACATAAATGCTTGTCCATCATCTCCATGCTGCAGCAGGATGGCTATGGGTCCTGGCAGCGGCAGCAGTCCTTGGAGAATATTAACTATGGGCACCAGTGGAGCACATTGAGAAGCAATTTCTCTCCTGGAAGCACCAAAGCCTTTTAAGTAGTTTAGGCTTCACTGTTCATGTCCAGTTGCCAAAAAGCAAATGAATTGTCTGATTTGAAAGACATTTGTTTCCTTATTTTATTTTGGCAGTCAGGATGATCCCCTGTTTTCCTCATAATCAGGCCCCACAGAATGACATGCCTGTGCACTAACAATTTAAAATAAACAAAGCGTGGTTTTCAGGTGACCGTTTTGCTTCAATCTGCTCACAGACTGTCCCAAGGGGGCCTACGGAGCTGGCTGCTCTTTGGAATGTCAGTGTGTGGAGGAGAACACCCTGGAATGCAGTGCCAAAAATGGTAGTTGCACCTGCAAATCTGGTTACCAAGGCAACAGATGCCAGAAAGGTACAATCTGATGATAGATTTTTCTTTCTTCTCTAATAATAACGCTCAGCCTTTGTTCAGCATCATATGATCATTAATTAGTTAATCCACCAGTGTCCTCAGGTGCTGTGGTATGCTTTATTAATCCCCTATTTGCAGGTGAGGAAACTGAGACACAGGGCAATATGGTTATTTAACCTTGTCTTCTCAGATTCTGTTATAAGCAATCCCCTTACTGACTTGAGAAGGGAGGAAAGATCACATTATATAGTATCTTGTCCAGAAAAAAAGATGAGAGCTACTGTGTCCACTTCTTTGAGCTGAACTCATCAACCAAGAACACTGCTGGCTTCCTGAATTAAAGAGTTATTCTCTCTATATCTAAAAATGGGTCACTCAAACAAATAAAATGCAAAGATACTTAATTGTGGAAAATTTAAAATGTCTATCAATATGGTCCTTTCTCAAATTTTTAGACATTATATAACTTTTAAATTTAAACTACAAATAGAAAGGTTTATGTATAGCATAATTTCAATTATAAGTAATATATTCATGTGTGTGTGTGTGTGTGTGTGTGTGTGTGTGTGTGTGTTTGCATGAAAATTTGGAAGACAGGGTCCCAAGATGTCAGCGATTTTGTTTCTGGCTTGTGGACTCATGGAATGCTCCTCCTCAGGTTTTTCAGGGCATTATTTTTGTGTGTTTTCAAAGCCTCATGTCACCTTTGCACCGAATTTTATCAGTCCCACCCTACCTAACATGGCAACTTGCAAGTTTCCCTGAACATTTTTCTTTTTCTCTCATGCTTATCATATTCTAATAGACCACATATTCTAATTATATATTGTCTAATATATATTGCCTGTCCTTCCCTGCTAAAATCTGAACCCCATGTGTGAAGAGTATCTGCAATTTTATGCCAGTATCCCTAAACTCCTAGAACAATCCTGACATAGAGATGTTTCCCATTAAATGGTTTCTTAAATTAATACATAAATATGCATAGTTATTTTTTATCATTTATTCATTTTTCTTATATGGTTGATAAAGCCCTAGTTACTATTTTATTCAGAGGAAATTATCACAGCATTTTTTCTCTTTCATACAAAATACTGACCATACCACAAATACAATTATCATAACTAACGATAAGTTATGATATTTATTGCTTTTGCAGGACCCAAAAGGTAATGTTGCTTAAAATTGGGAGAAGATAATGGGTTTGAAAGGAAGCCATCATGTACCAAGTTCACTTACAAAGGGAAGCACTGAGATTGACAGTTGTTCTTGACGCTCTTGTATCCTCAACTGCTCCTTATACTGCAGGCTTCAGAGAGTCTAAAAGGCTTTTCTGGAGCTGAATGAGAAGGGGAGTGTGACTTTGTTCTGGGTTATTCTGTGCCTGTGGAACTGAATCATGTTAGCAGTAATGTCCGTCTGAATTTTGTGGAGAGTGAACTCTTTAGATAGCTGGATTGTGAGTTTCTAGGTAATGGGGAAAGGAACCTGGGGATATCACATATCACATGAAAGTGTTTAAAATGGTATAAGTGGGTCTTGTGTCACTCTCTAAATCTCTTGCCTCAACTGATTTTTAAACCCCAGAGTTGGCCCCTTCTTTCTTTCCCCACTGGAGAAGTCATGCCCTGGAAGCTAATGCCCAAGGAGATAATACCATATCCACACACCTGGGTAAATTTAATTTATTCTGATATAACATTTTCTTAAAGCAGCTGCTGAATATACTTTATTGGAAAATGCTTCTGAGATTCCCACTGTGAAAGAAAATGAGTTGAAAGTATATGTAAATCAGCAAAATAGAGAGGTCACCATAATCTCTGGAAAACATATTATTTTTCAATCAGATAACTTTGTCCAATTCTGATATTTTTGTCTAACCACAAAATGAAATTATGAATCAGACTGGAGCGGGTGAATGGGCTTGCCATGATTGGCAGCTGAAATCAAGGCAAAAAGAGCTCTTTAAGAGTTGTGCATGATGAAAATCAGGCCTGTTGTTTTTCTTTTTCCTTTTTAAAAGAGTGAAGTAGCCCAAGTGCTCCTAGAGCCAGACAGATCCTTAAAAATCTTAACTCCAGACCTGTGTCTAGATTGCAGATGAATAGTTAATTAAAGACTTCAAATTGTTTCAATGGCACTAATGAACAGTATTCTCCACAATCAACACCAGTCCTTATTTAGCTTATCAGCAGTGACTTCTAAGAATAGAGGAGCTGGTTTCTTCGACTAACCTGTGAAATACCAAAAAAAGAAAAGAAAGGGAAAAAAGGTTATTTTCTAAAAGCAGACAATGCCTTTCCCTTCTATATCCATTAGTTTATAGCCTGGGGTATTTTGGACCCCAGTTACCTGTAGAGGACCCTCTGGGCCAGCAATTCCCTTAAGTCCATTTAAGGTGGTCCATAACAACCTTCATGTCATAATAAGAATGACAGATTATTGTTAAAGTAGTTCCACCTTAGATGAACTTTGAAATTTGAACTCTCATGGGTCTCTAAGGGCAGGTTAATTGACTCTGAAGGTCCTGAGTACTTAGTGTAGCTGGGAAAGCTGACTGCAGTGGCTGATGGCTCCAGTTTCAGAAGCCAAATGGTCTGGGTTCAAATCCTACCTTTGCTACTCTCTAGCTTGGTGAAGGAGTAGGTCACTTAACATCTCATGTAAAAAATAAAATAAAGTGATCATGGGGAAATTTTTATGGAAATATAAGCTAATTTACATAAAGTGCTTGGTGCAGAGTAAGTAATCATCAGATCAGGTACTAAAATCCCAGAAAATAATTCACTCTGCCCAGTTCAGAATATACTTCATGATTCGATTTCAATTGCTGTGACTTTCTATAATTACCATATGTTTTGGAAAATTTCACCATTTTTTCCCTGTGTTAAAAGAATGCTTCCCACTAGGTTTCTAATTCCAGTGATTTTGATGGTAGAGCATATGCTGAGACCTCCGAGTCTCAGTGTTGATACAGCTTCAACTGTCCTTTTCTAGTTCAAAGGACATTCAACAAAGAAGCACACAATTTCTCTTGAGTGCATTGAATACTTTCATTAAATCCACAATTTGCAAACCTCTGGTGTGATTATTCTGACTTAGGAAAGAAAAAAAAAGCAAAGACTGGGAGCAAAGGATTGAGGCAAGCATTTGGGGGCAACTTCCCGAGCACCATGCCTCCTTTACAAATTACATCTCATTTTCATGTTTTGTTCTGTGCAACTGCCTCCAAAGATATATATCAAAATTGCTTCCATTGTTACTGTCTGAAAAACTACATTTTCAGCAAAAAGCCAACCACTGTATCTGTGTTTCCAAAGTGACAAGATAGAGCATCATGTTGATTTCTTCAGGGAATATTTTTGGAAGTGCTATAAATCCTCAGAGGCTACTAGAATGTTTCTTTCTTTGTAGCTCAGACACACGCACGCGTGCGCGCGCGTGCGCACACACACACACACACACACACACACACACACACACACATGCACACATTTGCCAACTCACTTAGGCAACAGTAGAAATCTGGGACCATCTTGAGCTTTATTGCAAGTCTTTCTTTCTCTCTCTATTTCACAAGCCTGCCCTGATGGCCTCTGGGGACCAGAATGCAGGTTCTCCTGTGGACCCTGTGAAAATGGAGGTCAGTGTGACAAAGAAACTGGAAACTGTACCTGTGCTCCTGGTTACATGGGAAAATCCTGCACAATGTGTAAGTAATAAACCTAGAAAGGAGACCCAACAGAGTCAATAAAATTGTTGGCTTTATAAATGCTTTTCTTATTGACTGCTATACAAGGTGTTGCTGTTAGAAAGCTGTTTCAGCTATCATTGTACAACAACCCACCCCAATACTTTGTGGCTTAAAACAATAATTTATCATTTCTCTTGATCCTGTGGGTTGATGAGATGGCTCTCACTGCTAGTCTCTCATGTATCACTCGTGTGGCTATTTCAGGAAGTTGATCAGCTGGGAACAATTGGGCTTCTCAACCATGCAACCTGGCTTTTCCTCTGCATAGCATTTCTTCCATTGGACTTCCTCCTCACACAGCAGTGTTAGGACAACACTCCAAGAAGGAGCATACAGAAAACGTGAGAGTAGAAGCTACATATGTCTCAAAGTGTAACCACAGAAGCCACACATTATTATTTCCACTGCATTCCACTGTTTAAAGCAAATCATGAGGCAAGCCAGAGTTAGGGGGAGGAGAAAGAGGTTCTAACTCCTGATGCAGAGGAGTAGCAAGATTTCATTGCCAGAGACTTGCAAACTGGGTGAGATGGTTGCAGTCATTCGGGGAACCAATCTCCCCGAGTATAGTAGTTAATGTTATACTGAAATGCGTTTTAAGAAATTCTAGACTAGGATTATCATTCTTGACAGAATGGGAGCAGATTATAAACTGCTAAAAAGTGATTAGCTAAATTGAACCTGTTTAAAAGAGTCAGAACTACTATCCTGCCATACCCTCTTCTGATTGTTATTCTTACCTACACCTAAGCTAACCCCCTCTGCCTTATCTCCTCTGCCCCATCCGCAGTGAAACAGAGTAGCTTGAGAGATGGAGAAAAGCTGTGAACTGGATGATAATGATGGCGTTTTCCACATTACTATTGCAACTTTGTCTAATAAAGATTAGCAAAACTCTATTTTTTGTGTGTGATTAGCTATCTTTTATTAAAGTGTGGGCTGTTTCTGAATGAGTTCTGAGTGCTTAGGACTTTCTAAAAACAAACAATTAAAACCAGAAATATAAACTATAAATATAAAATATAATACGGGAGAGTATTTAGCACAGAGCTAATCATCTGATCATTTGGGGAAATACATTACTACCCCTAAGGATAACCCTCAAGCAGAAGTGGCAGGACAGGTCTTTGCCTGACAGTTTTTCTGTATATAACTAGACAGTTTTTATTTCAGGACCATCATTCTGGCACTGTTGACAATCATCTCAAATAGTATAGAAGTTTACCAGAGCAGCAGTTGACTATCCCTAACCTAGTTGTTTGCTTTAAAAAAAAAAAAAAAAAAGATTTAAAGGTAAGAATTTACATATTCAAAAGGTAGTTTCTTGCTCTTTCCACAGTGCAGTGACATTTTCTCTTGTCTTAACTCAACATTAATGGAGTTATTATTAAGCAGATAGTAATAAAATTTACATTGTTTCAATTGTCAGGTGATATAAATAGATTATTTAAAAACAAGAAAAAGATAAACTGCTCATTCTCTCAAATATTAATTTTAATAGTCATGCTGTGTTATAATGCTTCCATCCTAGTATTTCAAACCCCAAGAGAATATTTTATGATAGTCCTGAGAAATTTGTGGTGAAAAGCAATGGTTGTTTAAATTGTATTGGCAAACTGATTATGATACATGTACTGAATTGACTAGACAAAAAGTGCCCTAACTCCTGGTCCAGTTCAGTTTTAGTGAGACATGCTATTATCTGATTTTAATCACAGAAACACAAACACGTATTATGTAATCACCGTAATAAGTTATTTAAGAAAATGAGTGAAACTGAATGATAGAACTCATAAAAAATGCTTCACACATACTTCGCAAAGACTATGTATGGCGCTTTTTAAAAGGCTTGTATTTGAAGAAAAACATACAACATATCTCTAAATACCCTGGTATGGTGCTCACAGAATTTTAAAACCTACTTACTCTGCATAATGAACTGTAAAAACACTTACAGGCGATACAAAGTAATATTTTTTATAGACAGGAGAGACCAAAAAGCTATTTCTAAAGTTATTGGCTTTGTAAAAATTCCATTGTTTGGAAGTTATAAATACACATACTTGAGAAATTTTTCTTTTAAAAAATATTTTATTTTACTGGTAGGAAACCCTCTAGGTTATGTCTTATGCTGGTTAATGTTTTATGCAAATGTGTGGGTTTTGTGGGGTTTTTTCTTCTTCCTGCATGGTGTGTGTGGCACAGGGAGGTGGATGGCTTTCCAGGCCCTCACACCTTGGGAAAAGTGCCACCTCTGGGAAGGGCACTGTAGCTTTCTATCAGGCCTTTTATCAAATAATCAGAGAAGTGGTCCTAGCTTTTTCTTTATCCTGACGTTATTTCTCATAGCAAAAGTACAAATTGGAAACAGCCTAAATATCCATCCAAGGGGAGAATGATTAAACCATTATATAATACATCTGTGGACTATTCTTAGGTGGTTAGGATTCATGTTTTTTGATAAATGTTTATTGTCAGGAGAATTGACGTTAAATGCTGTATATAGAGAATGATCCAAATTTATGAGAACACGAACCCATGGAAAATTGTAGTAGAAAGGACAGCTGTTGTTAATAGTGGCTGTGGGTGAGTATTTTTCTCCTTTATACGTTTCTGTCTTTTCCATATATATTGCCTTACAATTTTTCCTTGGAAAAGTTGTTAATGTAAAAAGTAGTAAGGTAGTGAATACCAGTGCGCAATTTTTGTCATTACTTAAAGTAGCCTTTGAGAATCTTCACTGTTCCCATGACAGTGAATACCAGTCTCACTGAACTTGCTCTTTTAATTGAAGTCCAATTTTCTCTGTTTTGTTGTGAATGTTGAACACAGTCCATCAATACTACCAAAACTTAAAAAAAAAAAAAACCTCAGTAATATGTCCCCTGAACATTTGTTTCCTTTGCCGGTCTTCAGAAATTCGATTTTCTCTTAGTCATTTTGCTAATATATCTCTGATTTTTGCCATGTTTTTCATAAACCTTTATAAAATAGGCCTCTGAACTAAGTGGAGTGACAGAGAATAGGGAAAAGATATAAGGAGGGAGATTCTAATAACAAATACAACCATGTATCCAACATCACTAGATGAAACTTCATGGAAATCATATTGAACACAGGTCTAAGTTCCCAATGGAAAGCTGGTAAATATTTAACAACTGGCTGTCTGAAATATAAAAAACCTGGGTTGTAGCGTTCGCCTATTTCCATGGTGTAATACTCCCACCGTGGTCATTTCAAGCAACCAATGTGATGTCAAATGGCTTACAAAATTCCTGAAAATTTAATGGTTGGTGTCCCAAGCTGGTAGTAATGGCTCCAACAAACCACTGGCTGACAAACATTGTGTTCTGAATACACAAAATGATTTCATGACCTTTACTTTCTCCTTCGATATTAAGAAATGATTGCTTTTCAGGTAGTGGTTTTACATTGCTCTTTCTAAAACAGCTAACCAGTTTGACCTTTATGGTTGAATTAACCAACAAATATCTCCAAACAACAAAAAATTGGCTATTTAGCTAGTCTAGTTTATTTTTAAGACAAAAATCAATTGTTTGAACCCATACAAGATTCAAAAAACTGACCAAAAAAAAAATATTGAGCTGGAAACAGAGCCTTATTTATCCTTTTTTTTCTAGAATTCATGTAAACTTCTGATCTAGAGGGATCGTTTGCTTCTTTTAACCACCTATATGCTATTTTCAATTTCTACTACACCCACCACAAACCAGGGCTGGTGTTTTCTTTATGAGACATTGTTATTTAAAAAAAAAAAAGAAGAAAGAAAGGACAGTTATCTAAAGTAGAAGAAAAAGAAAAGATTATATGTAAAATCAACAATAGAAGTAGACGAATAAAAGGAAAAACTTAAGAAGAACAATTAAAAGTCCTCAGTACCTCCAAAAACAAAGAAGTGAGATGCAACAAAAAGCCTCTCTTTCTCTGAAGCCATTGCAAATCTGATTTTTAAAGTTGCCGTAAAATAAATTGTATTTAAATAATACATCGCCCATCCTTTCCCGCAGTGAGATGCATTTCCCTTACCAATCTGGTTCTCAGCAGGCGGGCCAGCCTGATGAAGTATCAGCAAAATGTCAGCTCCCACAGAGAAGTGCGACAGAGGCGACACTGAAGCAGTGACAGGCCTTTCAAGAAGCTATTGTGCAAATTCGGTTTTGAAATAGGGATGTGGTTGAGGACGAATGGGTATGTCATTACCAAGGCGTTCATCTCCCCATCATCAGGAGGCAGAGAAGGGAGTCCTGGAGCAGCTGAGGTGCAGACATTAAGTTGAGGGGTGGTAGAGCTGGTCTCGAGGAGATTTGTCTTTATATCTGTATTTTTAAAGAGTTAATATTCAAATTAGCTTGCCTTTTTAACATATGCACATTGAATGCAACCTAAGAGCAGTCTCACCCCTACTGGATGAGCTTCCATCCTGTCTGTTAGATCATTAAGAACAAAGTTCATCTTGTCATTCCTTAATAAGCCTCATTGTTATACTATACACAAGAAGTGACAATACCATAATGTTAAAGGCTCATCATCAACCTATCCCTCACCTCACATTGACCACTCTCACATAGAACCCACCTATTTAATCATAGGACCCACCACTGTGCTTCCAGAGATGACCCTCATACTTCAGCCCTGAATTCCCCCCAAGCACCACATACATTTAAAATATGGAATGACAAGAACCATAGTTCATTGTTCTTTACTAAATATCTTTTTTTTCATTATAATTGCTGGCTAAATTTCTTTAAGGATTTTTATTTTTTAGTCCTATGCAAACAAACCAAACCATGAAATTTCTTTCTTCCATAACATCACTGATCATAGTGCCTGATAATTAGTTGTCTGTTTGTGCATGATGAAGGCTATCATTTATTTTTTGGCACTTTTCAGCTCTCTCTGTACATGAGATGCTCTATTTGATGGGCTTGATTCAATTA